TGCGATGAGTTTCCAAATTGTGACTGTCTCGATTAACTTCCTTCAGTGGACGTGTATAGTTTGTCCACGGACCTTGCCTTGGACCCACATGAAAGTTATTTTTTTTGGCTATGAAAGTCAAAAAGTGATTGTTTGATCGGAAGGATTAGGTGACTGTTAATATCAGTTTTTTACATTCTTGTGAAAGTATTTGGGATATTGTTTTGACAGCAAGTTTTAATCTTTTAAGGTCAGTTGGCCAGCATCTTTGGTCATGCCTAACGTTATATAAAAGCGTGTGCTATGGAACTCGTAGTCAACCGATCAGATTTAATTAGAGTCTACCAGAGTTATAAGGGGCAAGTAAGAACCGATAAGTAGTCCCAGCCATGCACAGTGATGAAGAGAGGGGAATAGAAGTAATTTTTCTGTAAGTAGAATGGTAGCAGAGAACAGACAAAAGGACACGTCGAGAGTCCTTGGTGCCAACATAAGCTTTACTCGATATGCGCGCGGCCTTGTTGATAAGGGGGAGGGATGCGGGGAAGACACTGAAAGGTGGTGACTCATAATTCGGTTTCCAAGCGACTTGGCACAAGGAGGCAAGGTCTTCAGCAGCGTGCTAGTAAAATAGCGAGCGGCAACTTAAGAAATTCTGCGTCACTGAAACCGAGGACTGTGAACTTCTCCTACTGGTCGTCAGTTAGCGTTCTTCGCAGTCGTTCTTTGAGATGTCACGCAACGTTTCTCAAAGAGTACGGTTCTCGGTTCTTTGGACTTGTTCGATGTTTTCTTTTAGTGCAGGCCCCAAGAGATGCAAGGTTATTTTAATTTGGATCATACAATGGCCAACATATTTTATTTTCGGGTAATTTAGAATATTCTACATGACCAAGCCTAGATTTTATTACCAGACCTCGAAATTGATGCTATGTGCTTGGAACATTTTAACTCAGTCTTTACCGCGACATCTAAATACGGGGTGTGATTAACTTTTGGCGTCTCTAGATTCAACTCAGGACTTTAACCGCGCAGTTATGAAACCAGGTTTTTACTGTTGGTTCTTCATAGTTACCTTATGAAATTGCATGGAAGCACCTTCAAACTGATTCAAAATGATCATTTATTTGTTATACATTGTAAGTGGTTCAGTCGCATCAAGCCCTGGACCTCACGCAACACTGCCTTGCTGAAGCTCAGAACATTATCGGTGACTACAATAAGGCACTAGACTCATTAATAATGTAGGCTCTAAAGTTTAGATACGAATTTTTTGTGATCATCTTCAGAAAGTGACTACACTGGAGCTCCATTCCTAGGGAGCAGAAGACTGGGAACATCAGGCATCATTTGATCGCTCCGAATTCCCTTGAAAGTGGTGCTAAAGCAGCCATAAATCTGAATATAAGTGAGTAGTCTTTAATCTCTTTGCAATGTGTCATACTTTTTTGTTCCTTGAATATTAAACAGAGGGCCAGGCATTTCGATTCGGGGATGTATTCTGATTGGTAAAAAAATTATTCACTGTTTGCTAGAATGTTAGCTACTTCAGATAGAAAATCATTTTTGCGATTCGTTTCGATTTCCAAACAAAGGAAATAAACTTAAGTTTCACACAATAATTCCTCTCAATCAACCGTAAAGGAAAAGTTATTGTTAAGCTACAACTCATGAAAATGATTCATTTTCCGAAAAAAAAAATTGACAAAAGGCGCATAAAGACTGACTAAAAAGCAATAGTGACAATAAATCTAAGACGTCTCCCGGCTAAAATCACTGGGTCACCAGTTGCCCGTTCTTTTACGCTCGTTTCTAGGAGAAGCCGCAAAAAGCCTAAGGAAAAACTAGGTGGAACACTAGATTACCCCACAAGAACTGCTATTTTTAACGCTCGAGACTAGTGCAATCTGTGATGTCGATAGGCTGTCCGAAAGGCGATAAGTATTATTTATGGATTTCTCTACAAAACTTACGGTATCACCCTAATCAAAAGAAAATCACAGAAAGAAAAAACTACACTATCAGAGAGGCTGTAAAACGAAAAAAGTTACACCGACGCTGATTAAATTTCATCATGTCTCGGGAAACTCGGCCTCAAAGCCTGTAGTTGATTAACGTATTCACTGCTATTGTCATCTTTTTCAGACTTCAAAAGCAATGCATACGCGCGTGAATTGTCAGCTGACATGTTAGTATTGCCGGCATCGCTGAGAGGCATGTACACATCTGCATATTCCAGCCATAGTTAGTAGAGGGGGGACGTAAAAAAACACGGTTTTAAATAGAATAAATGGACTTCCAATCTCACGCATCGATCGCTCTCCTACACAGACGCCATCTTGAAATGTTGTGCAGGTCAACGTCACGTGATAGTGAAATTCGTAAACAAAGACATCTCTCTTTGATGTTCGCCGGGTTTCCTAACCAGTCCCCCCTCTACTAACTATGTTCCAGCCAAAGAAAAGAAAATGAGCAAAATAAAGATGTTCTTTACTGACTCTCAGCCTGGGTGTGTTCTTAGTATGTTCCTGAAATTTTGTTAGTCTCAGCCTGGACTTCCAGATGAAAAAGGTTCTTATAAAAATGGAATAGTGTATTCACCGTCGCCCTAAAAGTTGTCGTCCTTTTCCTCTTTAGACGGCAAAAGTGATACATATGCATGAGAATTTTCGGCTGTCCTCTTAAGATTGGTGAGAGGCATATACGTATTTGCGTAGTCCGAAGTCTTTATTTGATTGACGTACTCGTGTTCTTTCCCATTATTTTTCTCTACTGGCGTGTACGGGTGTGCGTAGGTGTGGGAACAAGCGCTTGACGCTTGCGCATATACAGGAGTCTGGGCACTGTCGCTAGGCACCTACGGGAAACACAAAAACAAAATGTGTTTAGTTAATACAAGATTTATTAACCGATTTGTGAACGAGGGCAATAACCTTATCACTTCTCTTAAAAGAGGTCAAAGACCCCGTGGGGAACTAATTAAAGTTTCATACGGCATCGCCGTATGAAACTTTGATAAGCCCTGGGTCCAGATTCTAAGCCTTAACTCTTTCATGAAAACGCTGAGGAGTTCAACAAATACTGCAATATCTACCTGGTTAAAAGGATGTGTGAAAGATAAACAATAATGGCTAACAAGCCATGAACGCTCCCCCGACTCAACACTCCACAGTCACGCCAACAACAATCCACGGACATATCATCACCCTTCACCACCTGTCACCCACACTCCACCGACACCTCACCAAGGTTCCATCGACACGATATCAACCATACACTAACTTAGATCTTTAAGCATAATTATGCATTAAAACAAGATATTATATTCTCTTGTATTCAGTGATTATATAAAGTTTTTGGATCTTTACTTCCGCCTCGGTGATGAATAACTGTTAATTAATCGAAATCAGTGAAATCTTCGCTATTATGATTATTAGAAAACATAAACATACCATCATCACAGGTGGAGACAGCTCAATTTCTTCATATTCATCTCGGGGAGATTCTTCGGTATCTTGGTGACGATGGTTATTGCTTTCAGAAAGTTCCAACTGATGGGTAGCACCCACAGGAACCAATGTTAAACTCTCTTCAGACTGGTCGCTTAAAGGGTAAATAACGACTAAAAATTTCAGTGCGAGGATCAATACCTAAGTTATCATTCACAAGTCTGATTTGATTCATGAACTGCTTATGATATTTAGGAAACAGTCATTATTTATTGCCTGGTGGATTATAGGAATATTACGGCGTGTTATTGGAGGATCAGGTAAATTTTCTAGCGACACAGCCAAAATCTTTTGACTTGACCCTTGACGACTGGTTCCTGAGGTAACTTATCTTTTTCGACAAGAACAGTGCATTCGGGTAGCAAGTCCATCCTTACATGGCTTTGTTCAGAGTGCTAGTTTGTCGGCGATTATTGACAATGCTATTAGCAATACAAAAAATTGTCATACCTTTCCACAACTCTAGGTCTCTCATCTAAGAGAAAGATCGAAAGAAACAAGAATAACATCATTTTTTAAACAAAAATTAATATTTCAATATTAATAAAATGAATAGTCACCACAAATTGCGAAAATGAAGTGTTTTTTGGGGAATTGCAACATGCACCCCGTTCCATAGTTAATATATTCTATACTTTATGAAAACTATAACAAAATTCTCGAACGTAATTGGCTATCACCAGCCCGATTTGAGCACTAATAGGACAGTGTACGTGTCATACTTGTACTTAGACAGTGTAATAGGACAGTTAAAGGGCCAGTTAACACATCATGCCTGTGTGTAAGTGGACAGACTGCTTCATGTGCGCGCGCCGTTGCCTCGCATTTCGCCGAGTTAACTGCTGTTTTTTATGAAAACGTATAACTTATGTTTAGTTTCTTTCTCAAATTTCGTCATAGTTTTGATTTTGTGAATCACTCGTATGATTACAGACCGAACTGGACTCTACTCGTTCGTATAACCATTATTAATGAGGGAGATAATGTGGTCATGTAGATTCAAAAGCATAGCTTTCTTTCAAAGAAGCGCAGTTCATCGGAGAGTCTTGAAAGCAAAGCAACAGCAGTGACAATGGCTCACCAGAAGAAAGGGAAATCGGTAAACTGTCCAAATTGATTGGATTGATTTGTGTAGGGCCCATTTTGCGTTTGAATAATGAATGTAGCGAAGTAAAACAAAACGACGCAATCCTGGATTAGTTTAGACACTTGATTG